GATCTTATCCATACTTCCAGCATGACCTCAGTAGGATCTATCATGAAATCCAGGATCTGATTCTTGTGGAGTGGCAGACTGCTGCTTTCCTTTTTAGTAACGATCTATAGCGCATGCTGGTTGGTCAACTGATATTTGCTTTCTTGAATTGGAAAGTAATACGTTTCAGTTTGACCGTACAAGAACCAAAGATATTGGCATTTGTTTAATAATTGATATAATTACTATTTCATATGAGAATAGACTGGACTTGAGTGGTTTGTAGCATGCTGTGAACCAGTTTCAAGCAAAAAATAGATAATAAACTGAGTGGAACTCTGAAATTAGCAACTGGATTTCTCTAGACTTGTTATCATTGTATCTCGAACTCTAATGGCTTTTTTAGGATTTAAATGAATCTGCAGTCTTAAGTTAATATTACAATACAAATTCATTGAGTACATGGCATTTATGTATGCAATTTTGTGGAGGTTGGAGCTGAATGATTACATTTATATTCTTACAAAAAAATGTGTAGTGATTCTGAACAATGATCTGAGTCCAAATTTTTGTTTTGGCTGAATTCTAGTTCCAGAAGCTTTTTCTCATTAGTATGGGGGTACAAAGAGATATTTCAGCTGTATAATTGCATTTTAAAATATCTTTGATGTATGTAAACATGACAGTCTCCCATAGTTCTCTCTGCTTCTCTCTCTCTAACAAGAGCTGAACTGCTTTCTTGCAATGATGAAGTTATATAGTGCATTTGTTTGGATGTCTGTGTTCAGTTAAGCTTTACTGTTGTTACTTGCAGTCTTCATTTGGATTTTTGAGTATGAAACTTTTTCTATTGTGATTCTTAGGTGGTTTTCTCATTTGTCAGTATTACATCTTGAAAATCTGATGCTTGCATTTATTGTTCGAATTTCTTGTCACTAGCTTCAATATTTGTTCAGTTTGAATTGTGCTTCATTACTGCTGCTAGTTACCGAGCTGAAAATATTAAATTTGATTTTAAAAAAAAAAATAAAAAAAAATTAGTTTTCCCCTTTGGCATTTCTTCTCTTATGTTGGTATGAGATTTGTTGAGTACTGGATGAATATGAAATCCTAAGGACCTTATTGATGAGCAGCTGACCAGCCATAAATAATTTGACTGAAATATAGAAACTGTGTTTGATTAGTCTATCCATGTTCGTGCATTGGATTTAGAGAGTAAAGATACTTGGTAGGTAGAAGACTAACAATGCAACTAGGTTTGTTTACGCTAATGTGAGCATTTTGTACGCTTGCAATGCTTTCTGATAACTAATGGTAATACATGGGCCAAATAATCAATAAATTGGAGACTGAATAGAATCACAAAATCAAGTCATTAATTTAAGATTGAACTCGATGTTCAAAGAAGTCTAATTTCATTTTGATTTCTTATTCACTCTGAGCAATCTTCCTTCTCCTTCCATTTTTAGATAATTAATGTTTAATTTGGTAATAAATTTTCTTCAGGTCGGTATTTATGGTTATACAGCTTATTCAGCTAGCAAGTTTGGCCTTAGAGGTATGGCAGAAGCTTTGCAACAGGAGATAATAGCAGACAACATTCATGTCTCCCTTATCTTCCCTCCAGATACTGAAACTCCTGGATTTGTGGAAGGTCTGAAATCCAACTTATTAGCCTCACTTTTGAATTGCACAAATTATGCTCGATATCATTTTCTATTGTTTCTTTTTTCTGATGATTGTATTTCTAGTTGTATGATTTCATGATGTACTTTACACAAAAGTGTAGTAAGTACAAACATAGTTTAATGACGTCTACTAGATGACATACTTCTAAACAGGATTTGGCTTCT